ATATATATATATACATATATTGGTTGATGTTACAATGTCAGAAAAATAAATTAATTTTTTTTATGGAAAGAAACAGAAAAAGAGAGAGCTTTTAAGGAAGTTCTAGAAATTTATGTTAATATCATATTAAATAAATCATTTTATATAAAGCTTGTGTGAAATCAAACAGTAAATTCAGAAATACAAAGTAGTAACTGTCAATATAGATAAGAATTTTTATTATTTACTAATATACAGGGTGATCCGAAATTCACGAATTCGGAGTACAGGATTCTTTATGATAAAAGAAATAACCTTTTCCTTTTGCAAAATTCCGTCTAACAAGTAGTTTTTGCAGGAGAGTAGGTTAAAGTTATATGAGTAAACGCAAAAATTATTTATCGAATGTAATTTTATTACAAGAAAGAATTTTTCGTTTTAGCTAAAATAATTTTTGCGCTTATTTATTAATTTTAATCTGTTCTCCTATAAAAACTACTTATCGGACGCAATTTTTTTAAAGGAAAAAATTGTTTTATAAAGTATGTTCTGTATTCCGAATTTGTAAATTTCAGATCACCCAGTATACCAAATATTCAACAATATTTACGATATTAATGATGCACAATTTATAATAATTATGAATCCAGTGTCGTATTTATCAGTAAACTACATATCGTGCACCTTCGGAGTCGATGTCCGGTAACGGTATACCCGATCGTTATACTCTAGGCGAAAGTATCGGGGAGTCTGTCACTACCAGGAGAAACTCAGACGAATATTTTCTCTCCGATTATATGTACACCCTAGAAATGGCTCCCTGTCTTTAGTTATATCTACATGTATATATATCTCTTCTATATCTGCTACGTAGGAGAATATGCGATTACTGTGGGAAATGTTCGTTTGTATGGAAAATAAACTTGTATTTTATGTTAAACATCGTGTTTGTATTTTCGTATTGTTATTAATTTTTATAATTATTGTTATTAATTCTTAGCCCATCTTCAATGAGACGTTTTCGAATTTTAATTATCTTGGATGCTAACCTTGAAATTAAATCAAATTTTTTTATTACAATTTTGTTGTGACACTGTTAAAAAAGTTTTCCTAATCCTACATAATTAATGTAATTATCGACATAATAACTGTGATTTTTATTCTATTTCTTTTCCAGGCACTTTTACGTAATATTTTACTCTTCAAAGTTATTAACGCTGAAAACAAATAGACAAGATATTGATATTAATACTGATTTTTGATCAGAGAAAAATTGATTATTTAAAATCGAGAGCTAAATTAAAATGAATATCAACTTATGTTTATATTAAAATAAAGAAAATGTGTTAAAACAAAATAGTTTGCCTACATTGAACTTACTTACTATTATTTTTTTCGTTCGATAGATTGAAACAATTTTAATAAATTCATTTTTTGTTATTGTAATACGACGACTGTATACATTTCCATCACGTGGTGAGTTGGATTCCATCACATTAGTTTCGAAACATTTCTTTCTGAGCGTGATAGAAAAAAATGTGAACGTTATAGATCGATCAAGATTAAACATCACTATAAACTGGTCACTACAGTTCGATCGAGATATCCGGATTCTATTATTATTAAAAGCTAACATTTCTTTTATAGTTTCGCGATATTAATACGGCTTTGTCGGCAGTGGCTTTTTGAATTTTCTGCACGAGGCGAATTTGGCATTGTGCCCGATATATGTCCCGAGGAACAGTGAAATGAAAGCAGTCCTTCTGCTGACTTTGTCGTCATCGTTGCGTCGCAACATACCGCCAAAATAGCGAACAAAGTAGGAAGAGTACTACGTCCTGTTGACGTCAATCGCACGTCGAGGAATTTTTTGAAGTATACAATCGCCTATCGAATCAATGTTTTTCTTAATGATGACTGTGTTGAAGTTAATCTTAGCATGTTGAAGTCAATCTTAGCAGACCAATTACACACATGTTATAAAATAGTATTTTTTCTTTTGCTAATATCACATTTAATTTCTTATATTCTTAGCTAGCAAAGAAAAAGACGTAACGACGTCTTTATTTTAATGTCAAATAATAAATAACGTTAGCTTGTTACTTGAGTTTATATATAAGAAAATTATGTTGTATAGTCACTTAAAAAAATTACATAAAATATTATGCGTTATAATTTGGCATTAATACCAAGGTTTTCATTTGTAGAAGAATATATATATATAAACATATTTAGTTAAAAAGTAAGGTATAAAATACAAAGAAATTTTAGAAAAACATTGAGAAAAAAATTGCTGTTTCAAAAAGTATTATAGTTTATTATAGATTCAACTTAAATATAACTGTCACAGATTGCCAAAGAAATAATATATTGATATCACGTATATTTATATTTTAAATATATATACTTGAATTAAATTAAAGAAGTTTTGCATTTTCAGCATTCAAAAATTTGTAAGAAGCCTTATCCGGTTCAAAATAATTTTTTTGTCGTAAATTAGTATCATTTTTAGCATTAAACGTATAACCGAAAATAAAATTTAATTGCCAAATGTATATGCCGGAGAATAAGAGTTAATCGAGTGAACACTAGTCGGATAAATGTAATAATCACGAATGCGATACGCACGCGGATCATATATATCTACAGTTTCTCCTCTCATCTCTCATGGACGGATTTCGTTACGACACAAGCCTCGGGGACGATGGCTTTCTCGAGAATCATGACCTCGCGTCAGCTTCCAAGGTTTGTTGCTAACCGTTTTTTATTTTCACTACTTAACTCGGCAAAATCGACGTCAATAAATAAAGTTAACGTCACCTTTCGCGACGTCTTCGTCGCGACTGACGCATAAGAGAATCGACATTAATTCGAATAAACGTCAGATTAGTCATACTTTATATTTCGATACGCATAAATTATGTAATTATTTTATTAACATTTCACTTCATTTATCTTATTCTGTTTTATGAAATGAAATGAAACAGATAATTTTTAGCATATCTTTAGATGCATTATGACAATCATAACGAAATAGTTGCGACAAACGGAAATGCGTCAATCATTTTTTTATATTTTAAATAATATTTTTATTTTATTTTTTGATTAAGTAAAAGAAGTTATGATAAATAAAAAAGCGATTTTGAATGCGACGTGATATTGTAAAATATTTGATAAAATATTTGATAAAATTGTGATCGTGTTTAAGAGCAACAAAGAGATGAACCTGTCTAGTTTCATTTTTTTTACTCTGCTATCACAATATCGATCTCAGTGTCAATAAACGTTCATTGAGCGAAAGACCTAATCGATCATCAATGCAATTGGCATCGGTATCGCATATCGCTTCGAAGCTACAGTCGAGAAATTTAATACTTAATATCCCTACGCTTCCTTAATCCGTAATCAGCGTTCAGCGTAATCATCCGCGAAATCTAAGCCTTTCAACATTTATATACTGTAATATTAAACTGTATGTGTATATGTACAGTGGGTACAAAAAGTATTCGTACAGAAAAAATTTTTTTTAAAAAAACTTTATTTTTAAAAATTAAATATTATTCAGTGAAAAATGAGTCATCGAATTGATGTCGAATCGATATCAATATGATGATTTCAATAATTTGACGTCGATTCGACATTTAATTGATGATCATTTCTTGCTGGGTTATTAACAATTTATTCATAAAGTATAAAATAGACTGTATGTTTCTTAAAATTATATATAACAAAAAGATGTGTATTAATTATAGAAAATACATCATCTGAAAAATAAGCAAAATTTAAAAGTTCCATTGTTTGAATGCTCAAAAAGTACTCGAGAAATTTAGCTTATAATATCAGAAATACATGCTCATTTATATATGTTAGAACAGAATATATTCATTGTATAAAATTGTTAATTAATGTTTATTTTCTACAAATAAAATTTTTTTAATAAAAAATTTGCTCTCACTGTGTATATATATATATATAAAATATTCTATACATGTAAGTTTAGAAATTTGCGAGTCAATTAATACTACGTGAAAAAAATTCTCAAAAAATTAAATAAAAAGGTCATTTGTAAATTTCTATTTTAAGTAGCAGTTGTCGAGATAAGGGTGCTAGTATGACTAATTATGGATTACATTTAGACGATTATTTGTCTATAAGTGACGCATGCGGTAGTGTAGTGAACGCTGATAAGTGCGCACTTTAGCACTTATTAATGCTCACAGATAAACATAATTTATCCATACTTAAACTTTAAAAAACTACTGCTTAAGATAAAAATTTACAAATAATTTTTTTATTTAATTTTACTTAAGAATTTTCTTATTATAATATTTTAATTTGTGAATTTCCGGACACCCTGCATATATTTTATATTTTATTATTATATTATACATATGAAATATACTTTGCGAAATATTTAGCAAATGTGTAATATTTATATGTATTAAGCTGAATATATTACGTGTCATAATTAGATTGTTCGGAAAGTCCGTATAATTTTTAAACAAAAATTAAATAAAAATTTTTTTATTAAAAATAATTTTAATCTGTAATATATGCACCATTTTTATTAGACAATATTTTTTCATCTTTCGAGTAATTTCATAATTCTTCTCCCATAGAAATTCTATATTTCTAAATGTCATCTACTAAAAAAATCCACAATAATTAATAATTAGTTTGTATTTTTCAATATGTTATTTGTATTTTGTACAAAATTGATACAGTTAAATCGCATGTACCAAAAATGAATAAAGATAAATAGTTATTTTAAAACAAACAAATGACAAATAAGCACAGTAGTTTTTCTTTCCGTGCGATTTTATTTCTCGTCTCTATACTCGAGTATTCTCTTATGATTTCAGGCACTGAGAGATGCCCTCAGAAGGGAGTCGTCAAGCTGGTGGCCTCGAAACTGCTAAGGGCGCTGTCCGAGAAAGGATTGGCCTTGCTCGTTAACCACGGCATTCCAGAATGGAAGGTATAATGAGAAAAGAGGGAGAGATGCGTTTGCAAAACGATTAGCGATCGCGAGGCTTCCTTTGATTAATCAGGCGCCGATTTCCTCTCGCAAATGTAGTCAATATCATGCGTTGTCGCAATTTACCGTCATGACCAAATAATTTGAAGCACCAACTGAAACGAATTGAATAATTGATGATCTTGTTGCAATATTGAAATATGTCGAATTCCAAATTACCCGAAAAAAAAAAAAGTTAATTATTCATTTTGTACAGACATTCGAGAAAATATATTAAGAACTTTTTTAGAATCGATGACTTTGCTGACAATTATATAAAAATGCATTTTACTGTCAATCTTAATTGTAATTCATAAGGCTAAATAATTAGCCATAATTAGTTAATTAAAGCGTAATTAAAAATAAGCTTTGATGCTAAATATTATTTATAAATATAATATTATTTTTGTTCATATTAATTCGTGGTACATAATATTGTTCCCGTTATAATTAGTTAACAATAATAGTTAATAATCTTCTCCTCAACTAAGAGAGAGAACTTTTGTAGAGGAATGTCAGAGTTTCATAATTTACATAAATTAAAGATTGTTTTTTTTTCGTTATCGAATGCTTATCTCGGAATTCGATATCTTGGAGCAGTGAGTAAGTCAAGTAGCAGTTGCGTTTTCAAGGGCCCATGATAAATACAATACTTGTGGCGCAATGGCCTTGCCGGCATTCATGCCTGCTATCGGAAACTTAACTGCGGGTGATACGGCCGTATTGCAGTATTTCGTGCGATAATCCGCACTACGACTTACGTACTTGCAATCGCGAACGTTCGTCGATGAGTAACGCGGCTGGAAGAATATTACTCGTGCGTGTGCACGCGCAAGAAAACACACTGAAAAAACCGTGCAGACGTGCCGCTAATACGCAGGAAGATAAGATGGTTTTTCAAGGATACTTTTGTAAAGTATCGCCTGAACGAAGTTCGTGAGATTTCGATTCGATCCCGAGCACTAGTCAATATGCAGTAGTCAGAAAGTTCATTAAAACGTCAAGTAATCGCTTATCGTTTAAGATAAATATACCAAATGAATCTGACACAAGTCATTAAATTCAACAGGCGTGGTCTTTGTTTAACACAGACTTAATTTTTTAATTTATCCGTGTTATCGATCGGTATTAATGTTTAAGATTGTCGGAATTAATATTAGAGAAGCCCCGAATCCTCTTGTCTTCCTTGATACTTTTTCTAGATATGTAAAAAAGAAATGTTTATTGAGATTAACCATCGGCTTGTATCTTATATGATAGAGTTGATTTACTGTTTTTGCCTTACCATTCCGCATTGTAACACTTCAAAAATTTCGAAGTTTATGAAAAAAAACCATCGTGTGAAGAAACATCTTCGATTGTTGAATTTTTACTGATTATCTCAGATCTTTTTACACAATTTGTGTAAAAAGAAACCTTTGCATCTTTAAAATCTTTTTATTGATCGTCATAGATCTCGCGATTGAATTATAATTTGTGAAAAAAAATCTTCGCGCGTCTTCGATCATTTTTAAAGATCTGTTTTTTTTATTCTTGCACTAGAATTCTTTTTCTCGCTTTCACCAAATATCAAACATACCTATTTTTAAATTCTAAAAGTTCAGCCACAAAAAAAGATTTACCAACTGTTTCAGATCTCGCAATCAAATCACAGTTTACGGGAAAAACATTTATCGGATTGCCACGATTTCACAATTTCAACAATCAAATTGCAATTTGCGAAAAAGAATCGTTACGTTTTCGGCCATTTTTACAGCGGACTGCTGTAGATTTCGCGAATCACAAACCGTGAAGCGATGGATGACAATGGACAATACGCGGTAGAATATGTTGGAACAAAGTCACACTCGTCGTAATCGACGATGTACTTTGTTCCACGTATTGGTTTCCATTTCCAGTTATTGAAATAGCACGCGGATAACCGCGCGCCGACATGCAACGATTATTCCGCGACGGAATTAGGAGCGATAATTCTCGGGTTTTTTCCTCCATCACGCCGATCTTTTCTGATATTACGTAACGGACACATGTGATATTACGCCACCGATAATATCAGCATAAATATCGTGCTCGATCATCTTCTGTAGAGGTACTGTCCGTGGCGGCCGTGACTAAGAGAACCGTGTCGCATGACATATGACCCACGTGAATCACTGCATGGTCTTCGATACCTCGTGACATTACCTTCCCGATATTACTTGTCATTCGAGGAATCGCGCAAATGCCGCGAACGCGGCGTGTTATGACACCTTGCGCATTCAATAATGGATGCATTCAGTAGAAAAAGCAACTTTGCAACTGCTGTAAAATTCTTTGACATGATCTTGCCCTTAGTTTCTCACTGGATTTAAATGTATAAACCATCATATAAAGAATTGTAAACAACAGTTGCTGCTTTTTCTGCTGAACGCAGCCGGTTATACGGTCTTCGACATGTCGCATATATTTAAAAACCGCAAAGGAAAAACTATAAAAATGCGCAATTTCTTGAAAGAAATCTTCGTTGAAAATCGCGATTAATTGAAGTAGTAATTTAAATATTAAATTTGAATTTAAAATGCGATTATTCGCGAGGAAAATTGAAACAAAAATCGTGTAAATCGGGTGTCAGTGTATAATTTCTCAATCATATTATATTTTAAGAGCGATTGTTTATATAATATTGTGATTACGTAAGAGCGATATCGCAAACTGCAATGTGGCTCGAATCTTTTTGGCGAAAATATTAACTCCTCCATGCGCTCTGTTGCTCTTGTTTTTCTCTTTTTTCGCATTAGAATTCTTGTTTAATTAAGTGAAATTATCGGTCAAAAATGTTTGAATTCTTGTCTAATTAGGTGAAATTATCGGTCAAAAATGTTCAATTCACCATTTGCGAAACTGTTTATTGTTGGACGTTATCAGAATGATCTAGATATCATCGCAATACGTTTCTCCGTATTACGCATGTTGCCTCTTAACAATGTAACGCGAAATTTGAAAGATGCGATTATAGTTGTCGAGATACAGGAGATACGTGAATCTCCATTCAGAGCAATAATTTTCATCGAAAGCGGATCTTCTTATCATTATGTAAATATTCATTTTTTTTTCTTTCTATTGTGTTTCGTTCACACCTAATGGCGACGTCGAAGTGAAAAATCTTATAATTGTTCCACCAAGCTTCGTTATAAATTTAATTCCCATATTTTTTTTAGATGAAGGCAGCTTACAGAGTTCTAGACACATTTTGCGAATTACCGGACGAAACGCGAGCAAAATACGAACGCGTTTCGCCGGATAATCACGGCTACGTTAAACCAGGCACGGAGAAGTAAGTTGGAAAATTGCGTTCTTAAATTGTTCCTATAATTGAATTTGCTGCAATTCGATTTAATGAACGTTCTCTTTTATTAACCGATCGCGATTTGAACGAAAAGCAACATGTATTATTCAGTTCATATTCTATAAATATTTCTGTTTCTAATAAAATTGATCATTACATAATTATTATATATCGTTCATTTGCTACGATAAGAGAACTAAAAAATTATCAGTTTTTAGTTGTTTGCAATTGTTTGAAAAAAGGAAATCAAGAAAAAAAATACTTTAAAAAAACTTTTATTTTTATACAATCAGTTATTCAAAATTGCATTTCAAAATATAAGATTTTTATAATTTAAAGTATTTAAATTCATTTTCTGAAAAACTTTGTTTTTTGAGCTATATCGTTGTAACAAATCGTTATTATAACAAATGAGCAATATATTTTGTTCACACATAAATTGGCTGTGTTCCAAAATTTACTGCCAATACTGAAAATCTATATATATAGTTTATATATAGTTTACATTATGTGCACTATAGATTTTCAGTACTGGCAGTAAATTTTGAAACACAACTCATATGTATCTAAATTACATTTAATTTGTGAATATTTAAACTTCAGATAATTATTTTTCAGTAGATGTGGGATATTCTTTAAAATTTATGAAATTTGCGTATATTGCGGTAGTCACATATAAGTTTTCTGTCAGAGTTTTTAAATTGAATTTATTTTCTTATGTGATAAGATTTTCGGACGAGATGGAGCTTCGTCATGCGTTTAACGTAACCGGATGTGGACGAATTCTGCCAGAAGATGAAGTTCCTGGATATAGATCAGCAGTGGACGAATTGACACGTGATTTCAAGCAACTAGCCACCATGCTTCTTACTGTAATAATCCCTGTCTTATTTAATAATTACGTTTCATTTGCATATATGAATTTAATTCCTAGATTCTATTTATTATTTTATCTCTTTCTGCGAACAGCTTTGCTTTATTGTTATCATTTTATCTATTCTTTCGTGATAAGAGAGAAGAATCTTGCTATGTTTGATCTTTGAATTGTAACTCTCAATGAGAATTGTCTAGCCACCATATATAGAATGAAAAACCCGATTTGCCGCAGGCTCTGTCTGTGGGTTTGGAACAGTCCCACGACTTCCTGTTGTCGAAGCACGCGCACATACTCGGCCCTGGCAACGCATCCACCCTGCGTCTCCTCTACTATCCGCCACTCGGTACACCGGTACAAGGACTGACCCGATGCGGCGCCCATTGCGACTATGGCACTTTCACTTTGTTGGCGCAGGTATGCAGATTGCGGAATTACATTACACGCTTGAAACTTATAGTTCGTCCACTACAAGGCTACAAGATTGTAAATTTTCTGGAAAATCCTTTTCACGACGCGCTCTGCATGTAACGTATCATAAATTCTACGTATCTTTACAATTTTGTCGAAACTGACAGAGATATCTCGGTAGGTTCATTCGCGTAATACAACGCGCAATTGTTTCACGATAAGCGGCTCTAACAAAAGCACCACTATCAAATAAAACGTGAAGATATTTAGATACATCGAGAAGACATTAGGCAAGAATTAAAAGATAATGAATTATTAAACATTAAGTAAAAGTGATTTAAATATAGTATATCAAACAAATTGCGATTGAAGAATATCAAGTCGATATAAAAATAACATTGTATTATGTACAGTATATATTTATATGTACAGATCACTACTAATTACAAATTATTATTAATTATATCCTATAATTTATGCAAAATGATAAAATATTTTCAGGATTGCGAGGGTGGTCTTGAAATTCAAATTGGGGAAAGATGGGCTAGAGTGGGTCATCTTCCAGGCGCCATATTAGTGAACACTGGAGAGTTATTGGGACACTGGACCAACGGGCAGCTTCCAGCACTCAGACATCGTGTTGTTATGCCAGAACACTGTGGTCGCGGCCGTCATTCCATTGCTTTCTTTGTACACCCAGATGACAATATTCCTATCGAGCCGTTAGATACAAAGATAACCATAACTAATCAAGAAACAACTCTTTGCCGCCTTCAGAAAAAGAAACGAAGTGTTCTCACGGCGTATCAACATCTTCAACGTCGTTTTCGCGAGACTTACGCGTCTTAATACGCTCTATGCGAGCCTGAATATTCTGTCAGACTGACCTAAAAACCGGAAGCTATAAGTCTTAGGAAACCATAAGTCTTAACGCTCGTTGAGTTGGAGCAAAAATAAAATTTCGCGGAAATTCGAAAGAGATTGATTTTATGGGCAGTGAAATTAAGATACACCATAAGCTACGTTTTAAAGTATGACCAACATATCTTGCTGTATATTGCTTGATATATACTATAAAAAAAATGTTAAAAAGTATTACGCATAATATCCATTCCATTTAAGGTGAACAAAGGACCAGATCGCGGATAATTGTAATTCTGACGATTAACGGCATAGCTTGGCTGTCTTAATTTCACGATTTACGTTCAAAAGTCAGATATCCTCACGAAGCGAAATTACAAAACTGAATGTCAAAGAAAGATGTAAAAAGAATGTAAAAGAAAATTGCGATTCTCCGTCAGTAATAAATAAATTTGTACTTAATTCGGAAATATTTCCATCATTCCTGTACCTAATAACTCGAAGAGATTGTGTATTGTTTTGCTTCATTTAATCTTGCAATCTTTGAAATTATTTAGAATCCAGGATCCCAGTCAGTTTCTTGTGGTTTCTGATACGTTTGGAAACAAATTAAAATGTCCCCAGCTTTGAAAGATAATGTTGGATCTTCGAATCTTAAACCACATTCTACATCAGTCTTGATTGTTTCTGTTTCATTTTTCATATGTCTCATCGACACCAATTTTCCTAAAAAATTAAAAATAAATTTTCATTTTATTTCTCTTTTAGGATTTTCTCTCATTCAAGTATACTTTTACCGGTAAAGAGAACTTCCTGTTCACGCATCAATCGGTATATTGCATTTTTCTTGAGATTGCCTTTGGTGCATCGACAACCCGCAACCTTTACGTTCTTTTTTTTATCTGTGATTTTGAATTCTTGCAATACATTTGCTTCACCTGTAAGGAAATCAATGATCAAGATAAATATACGATTACTATTGTGATTGATGCTCTCTCATACCTATCACTTCTTCGGCATCAACCGGTGGAAGTCTCGAATTTATCTCCTTTTTAACATCATCAATGAGCTTATATATCACATTGTATGGACGGATCGATATCTTTTTTTCATTAGCTTCCTGTTGCAAGTTTTTGTTTTTCATTACGCCAACATTAAAAGGATATATGATGGCTATAAATAGTTCATGTTTAGATTTATAGAGAATAATACTAATCGATATCAAGTATAATTAAAAGGATGTATGATGACTATAAATATTTCATGATATTGAGATTTATAGAGAATAATACTAATCGATATCATGTATGTCTTACCATTAAACATGTCTGCCATTTGTAAATCTGTTTCTGTAACAGATCCAACGCCATAATGGATGACATTTAATTCACATTTGTCGTCACTCCCGTAGGTATTAAAAACGTCTAATATAGCTTCTACAGAGCCAGCGACATCACCTTTTATGACAACGTTAAGTTTAGGTTTCCCATCATCATCAGGCCTTTTATTTTTAGTAAATGTTAGCTTTGCATATCTGCCGAATGCTCTTCTCTTTACCAGATGTTTCTTATATTCCTATAATTATCGAATAATAAAGTGAGACAGGATAAATACATGGAAATAAACACAAGATCACACAATAGTGTGATCTCTTTATTATATTTTATATTATAAAAAAAAACTTACTTTCAGATGTTCTTCATACTTTTTGTCCGCTGCAATTTTATGTTCCTGCGCTAGTTGTGTAGCTTTCTCCGCTTCTCTATATCGCATTATTGTGCGTGCTTTCTTCTCATTCTCAACTTCTAATATTTCATCTCCAACAGTAGGTAGTAAATCCTTCCATCCGATAATCTGCACCGCATCGGATAATTTAGCTTCCGTAACTGGATTTCCGGAATGGTCGAACATAGCTCTTACCTTAGCCCACGTTAAGCCGCTCACTATTATCAAACGAAAATATTAGATTAACATTTCAAAATTACTAAACTGTCTTAAAACATATTAGAAGCAAGAGAAAAAACAAATTTATGCAAAACTTTTCAAGGACACGGTTTGTGGAACTAAATTATTTTTCTGAAGAAATCGCTTATATCTTTTTCTTTATCTTTCATATTTGAGACAAAATATTTTTTGTTTTTACCAAGATATGCACCCTTTCTCAGAGTACCACGTTGAATCAAAGCTGTCGCTAATTTGCCACGTTGATGATCGGTAAAACATTCAATTATGACAGCTTCAACTAATCCCGTTGGATCACCCTTTAATCCCATGAGTTCAGCTTGTAATGCTATAGCCTCTATTAAAGTATCTAAATTGGTTCCGTGTAAAGCTGATATATTAACGCTCTGAATGTCCCCGCCCATTGCCTCAACTTGAATACCTTGTTGTGCAAGCATCTTTTGCGTTCTTATCTAAAATACATATAATATAAATTATGTTGCTCTATTATTGATCATTAAAATGAATGTTAAATCGCATACAATATCGGCTTCTGGTTTATCGATTTTGTTGATAGCCACGATAATCGGAACATTCGCTGCTTTTGCCATATTTATACTTTCTATGGTTTGTTCCATCACGCCATCATCTGCTGCAATCACTATTATTATAATATCAGTTACTTGTGCGCCTCTCATTCGCATAACATTAAAAGCAGCGTGCCCAGGAGTATCCAAAAATGTAATCGTTTCTCCCGTTTTCAACGTTACTATCAATTGGGATAAAGAAAACTTGTTAATATAATGTATATAATGATAAATACAATAAGATCGTATTATTTACCATTGAAAGCTCCAATATGTTGAGTGATACCACCAAATTCCATTTTTACAACTGATGTGTTACGTAATGTATCTAGCAATGTAGTTTTGCCATGATCAACATGACCCATAATTGTTACTACTGGACGACGTTTTATTAGTACAGATTCATCCGGTAGAGGTCTAGTAAATAAAATATAAATGAAATATAAATAATACAAATTCTATTGATCTTATCTTATATTATTTAATTAAAGCCTGTTCCCACCAATGTAAATTAACTTTAATCTCGGTTCAACTTTTTATCTTTTTCTAATTTTTAGAACTAAAAACTAAAAAGTAAGTTAAACTTAGAGATTAAAGTTAATCTGCATTAAAATAGAAATGGATATAATATAGTTGATTATTAGTACCTTTTAACAATATTGCAGTCCTGTGTATTCTTTTCCTTTTTGTTATCTGATCTAGATATCACTTTAAACTTTGCCCCAAGTTTCCGCACAGCATTGTACAATATATTTGGATCCTCTATAATAGTATTTCTATTGTAACGTTTAAATGAATCAGAAAGAGAAATTGCATCCATGACATCATTTATATCCCTTTTTGCAGATGCTGCCAGTTCTGATACAGTCATTTGGTTCCATACATCCACGACTGGCAAACGTTTTTTCGGTTTGAGATGAGCGAAAACATTTATCTGTTATAAATGATTTTAAATTTTGATATCATATTATCTAAAAATTAAATGCTTACATACAGAGCATTCAGTGATTTTGTAAATTTAGAATTATACCTTGTTTGATTTTATAAATTTAGAATTATACCTTGTTCTTGAAATATTGTGGTGTTATATGGTAATGCCGGCATTGCGTACATGTGAGAAACAAATGAAAGTTGTACTTCCCTACATTATCGCTTTTGATAATATCACAGAGTGGCTGCCTCAGTAAACTGCAAATTGTAATATAAAATTATTATAGAAAATATACTCTCCATTAAACCATAACATATATTTACGCAAGTTATTACGTAACGGTTTTACATTTTTAAAGAGTAAAGAAAATTAATAACTATGCAGTGTAGAAGGTTATGTTTTTTTTCTTTCGTAAGAATATTTTAATTTCTCATAATGCTCTCGTAATGAAATACACATACTATGCAGCAAATCTTGAAGATGCAACTTTAATCATTGTGATAATATCTTCAGAAAAAAAATAATCACCTAAATTTTATACACGTTCTGATCAAAGAAGTAACCATGTTTACATCAGCTGATTATACAATCAGATTAGCCAACTTTGAAAAATTGAAGGATTGTAATTCCTTATCTCAACAGAGACTAGACAAATTTGAGAACGATCATTTAGGTCTTTTTCATGCTCGAAAACTTCCGTACACTAGCGCCACCAACATTTTTATAAAAACTGCGTGATACATTAAGCTGAATTTTCACCTGACGCTACGATGTTTATTTTCAGCGTCAAAACAGGTCACGTGATCAAAATTAATGCTTGATATTTATCAATTTCTTACATGATTTATTTTGACGCCGAAAATTAGCGTCGAGCGTCAGCATGAAAAAACACTTTATGCTCGTATTCATAATCAGGTCTTATATTTAAGACTTCCTTAAATTTATCTTTAGATACTCTACGAATTATTTCATTGGCTGCTGAGCATCTAAAGATAAATTTACGGAAGCCTTAAGTATAAAGTCTGACTATGAATACGGGCATATGAATATGGGTTTTAATTAGTCTCTGTTCTCCATGCCAAATACATAATGTGAATTTGCTTCTCATCGTCGATAGATGTCGTGCGCAGTCCGCGGCAGTCAGAATTAGATCGTGAGTGTTATTTGTGATAAAAATACATATATTATATCGTTGATAATTCTCTCATCGCCAACGTCACGTATTATGATCTCTCCAGTGCGACATTGCTTTCCTTGAATGACGATATATTTCAGCTGTTTGAGTTTACATCACTTTGCATCCATTTTCACGTCGCCGCGACCAATTGCGGCAACATTCACGCTTATATCGCTGTTATCGCTGTGTAACACTGTGCGACCAATGCGATTGTGTCGCCTGTGTGTGTGAGCGAC